AGAGCCCCTCCCAGCCACCTTAACCCGTATCTGCTTGGCACCTGGACAGTTTACAGTCAGACCTCTCTCAGTGAGCTGCTCTAACTTAGGCTGAGTGGGTAAAGAAGATACTGATCCAATTCCAAGTGGTTCTTTCCCCCTTTGGGTCCCTCCCTATCTCTGCTTGTAAAACTCTAATAAAATATAGTTTCAGGACCAGGGATTTAGCTCAGTGGTGCCATTGCCTGCCTCCAAAGCGCAAGGTCCTGAGTTCGATCCCTGGTACCAAAAAAAAAAAAAAATTTCAGCTCCCAGTTGGCTAAAATAGGGGGCATTCTGACCTGTAGCCCTCCGTCAGACTCATATCAATATATCACTGCTTTGAATATACTTTCTTGAAATAAGGGTCAGCGTCCTTTCTTTTTCTCATTTTCTTTTGTTTGAGACGGAGTCTCACTATGTAGTTCAGGCTGGCCTTGACCTCACTATACAGCCCAGGCTGGCCTGGAACTCAAAGTGATCTTCCTGCCTTACCCTCCCGAGTGCTGGGATTACATGTGTGCACCACCATACCTGGTGAGAGCCCTTTCTTTTTCTTTTTTTGGTACCAGGGATCGAACTTGGGACCTCGCGCTTGCAAGGCAGGTGACAGAACCACTGAGCTAAACCCCTGGCCCGAGAGCCCTTTCTTAAAGTTTATGTTGAGCATAGGTTGGGATGGGGAATATATCCCAATTCCAAATGAGAGTAATTCTGGATTCACCCAGGAAAATGACCCACAACAGAGGTATTATTGCAATGTTTCTCTGTATTTGAGATGGAGTAGAGAAGAATATCTGGACTTTTTGCCCTCCTCTGCCTCTCACAAGCTGTGGGATGACTCACTTATCTCAGTTAGCCTCTGTCTCTTCACCTATGAATGGCTTGGGCTATGAAGGCGATGTTTCTGTCCTAGTATCCAAGCCATGCATTCAAATTACCTGGGGAAATTTTGAAAGTGTTGATGCCTAGGCCTACCTCAGACCAACTGAACCGGATTCCTTTCGATGAGAGACATATCCCATTAGTGTTTTCCTGATGTTCCCTAATAGATTCTAATGCATAGAGAGGGAGGAGACACGCACTTTAACGTGATCTCCAAGGTCCCTTCCCATCCTGCACTTCTTTGGTCTCAGTGGCTTAGAAGCAAGTGCTGAGAGAATAGGCACAATTTACATCTGCACTGTAAATTGGTCCTTTATGTCTAATTGCCAGCAAAGAGTATTTATTTCACACACACAGAGGAGGCCATGGAGTAGCTTTTTCATTTTCATAGCAAGCTACTCAGAGAGTTCTGGACTAGAAAGCCAAGTTCTAACACTCATTCTCTTCAATTCACTCTCCAAACCAAATCTAGGCTTCCAAGGCATTCTGATTCCCACAGTGTAAATGATTGCATCTGGAAAGGTATCCAAATTATTGCCATTGAAAAAGAGCTTCTCTGTATAAGGTACTCACTGACCACATGTTGCTATTCAACACCTGAGTTGTGACTAATCTCAGCTGAAATGTGCTGGAAGTGAAAAATATACATTGGATTTGCATATTTAATGTAAAAAATGTAAAATACCTCCATAATAATCTTATGTTGACTGCATGTTGAAACGACATTTTGAAATAGTAGGCTTAATAAAATATATTATTAAAATTGATTTTGCCTGTTTCTTTTTGCTTCTTAAGTATGACTCCTAGAAAATATAACATTACTTATGTGGTTCATATTAAATTTCTATTAGCACTGACTAAGAGGTGTCCACTTCATGAAACTTTATTTGAAGCCTCTAGTGTACATGTGGGTTTTTTTGTTTTTGTTTTGTTTTGTTTTTTGGTACCGGGGATCGAACTCAGGACCTTGTGCTTGCGAGGCAGGCGCCGGAACCACTGAGCTAAATCCCCGGCCCGTGTACATGTGTTTTTTTGTTTGTTTGTTTGTTTGTTTGTTTTTGGTACCGGGGATCGAACTCGGGTCCTTGTGCTTGCGCAGCCGGCAGCGAAACCACTGAGCTAAATCCCTGGCCCCGTGTACATGTGTTTTTAAAGACAGTTTCTCATTCTGAAAAATATTCAATCTACTATCCATTATTGCACAGGGTACTGACTGAAACTGTCCAACCTTGGCTGGATGGAGATAAATCTGAAGCAGAAGAGAAGTCCCTTGGTATCCTTGGGGATTGGTTATAGGACCCACATCAAGATACTAAAACCCACAAATGTTCAGATTTTGTATATAAAATGGCACATTATTTACATGTAACTTATGCATATCCTCTCATACACTTTAAATCACCTCTGGATTATATATAATAACTAAAACAGTGTAAATGCTATGGAAATAGTTGTTATACTGTATTGCTTAGGGAATAATGGCTAGCAAAAGTTTGTGTTTAGTACAGATACATTTTTTTAAAAATAGTTTCCATCTGAGGTTTTTGAATCCAAGGATGCTGAATCTGTGGATCGGGAGGGTTGACTGTACTTTATACGAGTGGAATACTTTTGTACACCCAAATATGGCCCTGGAGAGATTCCTGGAATAATGTGAGTCTCCTCACCATTTCCCCCTTCTTTCCACCTAATATTACGAATATGATTTCACTACATCTGTCTGTTCACACACTTTCCCCATTCACACACTCAACCAGTTCTGTCCTTAACAGTAAGCAAGAAAGTAGATTAATTGCTATACTTAGAGGGGACATCAAATATCCCATTTGCCACAACTGTATTTTTCATCACTGGTTTTTCTCCAAGGCTTCAACTCAGTTGTTTCTATGGTCTTGGGGAATTTCCAATCAAAAAGTCTGCGACTAGCAGTTATCAGCCCCCAGCCTGGCCTTATCATATAGCCACAATAGAGGGAAGGGAGGCAAAAACATGTCAAACTGAATGCTTGGAAATAAGGCCAGTTCTAAGTGCACAAAGAGCAGGCACCTATCCAGAATATGTGGACCCAGGGTGCCAGAAACTTCCAGCCCTCTCATGGAAACTTCTTAGCTGCCTGCGGCTCTTTTAGCTTAAAGCTTTGAGGCATCTCACATGCATGTGCTCCCATGTGCACCCCCAGATCAGCATTTATACCTGCCCCAGGCAACTTTTGGTAAAACCGTTTGGAGTCTTCCACCAGACAGGGAGAAGAAAATGGTACATGAAGGAGGAAAAGGGCATCAGCAACAAATCTGGAAGAGCTGACAACTGACGTCATCCAGCTCTCAGTCTGGCCAGCGTCTGGCACTGCTGAGAAATACTTCCACCGGAAGGGAACTGACGCACCAGTGGGCTCCACTGCTGGGGCCTCAGGCAATACTTGGAGGCATCTCACTGTTCCTGACCGTGGGAACTTTCCCTTTAATTTTCATCTTCCCCTCTCCCTCCCTCAGGCCCACACCTACCTCTATTATAGCTGACTCCATGGTCTTGTTTACCTTCCTCCCTCCCCCACAAGCACAAAGACTGCCTCTTAGTCCTCCGGAAGGCACAGAACTTGGCACTCAGAGCTTGATAAACATTTGATGAATTAATATGTGATTATACCTTCTGGGCCCTCCGGTGGGTACCAAGAGAGTCTACCATCCTGCCTGTGGCACTTAGGGTAAAGGAGGTTGCAAACCTCTGCATCAAACTGGGCCTGCATTTCCAAACTAGACATATTTTGAAACAAAAATGAAGGGGAAGAGGCCGGGGCAGGGCAGGGCAGGAAGATATTACCACCCATGTGCACACTCATTTAGATGCTGCCAAAATGTTGCCTCTGCCCTTTCCCATGTGGCTTCCTTACTGTTTTAGCCCTGGCCCCAGTATGACTCTATGAGAAAGATCATTAGGATGACTTGCTTTGCATTAAAACAAATAAAAGTAAAATGTATCAAAACACTCCCCACAATCACAGGGTTATCATACTTTTTAAACAAACTGACCCACCACTGTTTTCTGGCATTTGTGATATGCTGCAAGTATGTGCCTGGCACTCAGAAAGCTCAAGGTTCCAGCAACAGTTGTGTGGCCTTGGATAAGGAGCACAGGGAGACTCTTTGTCCTCTGGTTTCTTCAGTGTATTAAAGAGAGATAATGGTATATTCAATGGGTATGAAAAAAGCTTAACATTAGTCTGCATGAAGCTCTTTGAAATGCATGAAGGGCATTGCAGTGTATGAATTCAACACTTGTCCTAGTGTTCACTCAGAGCCCTTGTCTGAACGTTTGTAAAATCTCTCTGTGGATGTGTATACACACACATACACACACACCACACACACGAATATATTTAAAATTGCTTAATTGCTTTTAAAATTTTTTAAGTAAACACATTGTAATGATTATAAGGCATCTGTGCAGTGTACCCAATGCAAGCCTGCCATGATAAGAGCTATTTGAGAAGCTAAATCACATCAGTGGGAGAATAGCAATGAGTCAATTGATGATATATTGCATTAGCAGTGGCTTCTGACCCCATATGCTGCCAACCGAATGCTGTTTCCTGTCTTTGTAATTCAATCATTTTTCAATTAGGTTAATTTCTTAATTCACCCAGAGAAGCCACTTGTGTTAAACACACATGCACAACTCCAGGTGTAGGTGAAATAAGGACAAGTTGCCATTGTGTTGCCACTCTCTATTGCTTTATTCTAGAAATGGACAGTATCGTGTATCTTTTTTTTCCTCTGAGAATAATTTGCCAAAACATCTTTCTGGTAAAGTGTGAAGTCAGGGATCCCCAAACCCCTAAGGCAGAGACCCAGCCACCACAATATAAAAGTATGAAAATATGGCCAAGAGAGGCTCTACAGTATATCCGCCAGACATGAATTAGCTATATTTTAAAACACTATTTGAATGCAAACTAACTGGCTCAGAAGGTGGCTTGGTGAAGGCAGCAGCTCAGAGGAGCTGACAAGCCTGCTCCACACACGTCCAGGAATTTGTTTGAGGACTGAGCATGGTTAAGTCATGTTTTAAGAATGTTCTCTCATTATCGTGACTCACAGGGTACAGTGAGCCACAGAAGGGACGCCACACAGTGATACCTTCTGCTCCGTCTGATTTTCAAGAAACACCTTCCACTGTGCTGAGGCTGGGAGACCGGTTTTCTACCAGGTTACCCCTTTACCTTCTTTCTACAAGGTTAGAGAAAGAGTACTATTTCCTGTTGACAGTTTAAAAACCTAGTAACTTGGGGGTGAGCTTGAGGAAGGAGGGGAGAATGGGAAAGAAAAGGGGGAAGAGGTGAGGGAAACAGAGAAGGGACTTGATGGAAGGAGAAAATTACAAAATGGAATTGCAAATCTATAAAACCAGCCAAGAAATTTGTTTGGGAAAATAGGAATCTAAGAGTTGTGGTTTGGCATTTAACACTGACCCATAATGAGAAAGGCAGAGTGAGAAGATAGTGAATCGGGGATGAAGATGGGAGGGGAAGGAAGAAGTAGAAGAGATCAAGAAAGGAAAGAAAAAAGGCTAGGCATAGTGGCATGGCACTCTGGAGGCAGGAGGATCACAAGTTTGAGCCCAGCCTGGGCAATTTAGTGAGACATAGTCTCAAATTTTTTAAAAAATTTAAAAAGGGCTGGGGATGTAGCTCAATGTGGAGGTTCTGGGTTCAATTCCCAGCACTAGGGGTAAAAAAAAATGAGGAGGAGGAGGAAGAGGAAAAGGAGAAGGACAATAGGGGGTAAAAGGAGCAAGATTCAGTGTGTGACACAAATGCATTGAAAAGGAGTATTATGAGAAAATGTAAGAAGAGACTGAAAGTTAAAAATCAGGATATACCACCCAATAGAGGACATCTGTTCATGTCAATATACTGGAATAGGGAAAACACCTTTGATAATTTGTCTTTGATTATCTTGTCTCATGCCAATCAACAAGCATATGCTTGAGGACAGCTTGAGATTTTCTCAAAGACTGGAATAGCAATCACAAGGTCATAACTACCAAGTCCTCCTCATGCACCTCCACAATATGTTCCACATGATGTGTCAGACATGTACACACACATACATGAAGGCACATATACACAGGAACATACACACCTTAAAAACACTCCATGGCTTCCCACTGTACTTACAATAAATCCAACCTCAGCAGCCTCAGCAGCCTTCCCTCACAATAGCCTTCTAGCCACACTGACTTCCTCTTGTACCCCTCAGATCCCTGGAGCTTTCTCTCACCTTCATAAACCTGTTTTCTTCACCCTCAAAGGACTGTTTCTGCTTCATTCTTTAGGTCTCATCCGGAGGGGTCATCTTCAATCTCCTAGTCTAAATAGCTCCCATTCTCTCTGCCACCACTTCCAATATTCACTGTCACCGCACCCCATTAGCAGGCACCAATTGTTATTTGTCAGCATAAATTTATTGATTTGTCTATATTTAAATAGTCCTTGACATCTACTAGCCATTCAATAATTACTTGTTGATCAAATGCATAGATAGAATGTTCCAGATTCACTGATTTGCTGTCCACAGTTGTGAGCGCTGGCTGCAGGCCCCAATAACTCACTTTCCTCTTGTGTCTCTTCCTTTTCTATCTGGCTGTTCGAAGCTGAGTCCCCACCAGTACCTTGAGGATGATCTCTTCTGCCTGTGAACACCTGAGTCTAGGTGAAGGGGAGGTAAGCAGCCATTCTTGAGTGGGGCAGAGGCAATGAGAAACCACAGAGATTAAGAAAGAAATCAGTTTGCCACTAATCTCATGTTCTTCTGTCATTAGAAACAAATCAAAAGAGAACTACCAAAGAAAGAGCTCTGAAGAGAAAGGAAGGCAGACATTGGACATAGTCTGTCAGGAGTGAATGTTCACCTGTGAAGTATGGTGACCTGAGGAGTCTCCGCTTCTTCCCTAAGCACACACAGGGCACTCTACCCAGCAAAGCCTCCAGTGACTGCAACCATCTGAAGATGAGTGATCAGAGAGGAGGCTGTCAATGCCTGCTCCCCTACTGTGGTGCCTTCTGGTTGTACCTCTCCTCTCTCCTTTGCTTGGTCTACACTTGAATCCAAGCACAAGGACAACAGGTGCAATTCACGAAGATACAATTCACCAGTGCCCAAGAGCTGCTCAGTGCTGTGTTCTCTGCCTTCTTGATGAGAAAGCTTTTTTTTTTGCCTCAGTATTTCTTTGTCCAGAAACATGTTTAACGCTCATGTGGAATTCTTGATGTTGTTGTAGCTACTGAAGGCTGACTCTTGCTCAGGAATTAAGGATCAGTCCACAGACTCAACTCTTGGCCAAACATGTATGGCTTGAGTTTATCCAAAGTCCAAACAAATCAGATACTCCTTCTGGACATAAGTCAAATTCTTTCCTTTGGTAATAATTTTTCAGAAATTTTAAAAAGCAATATGTTTTCTGTTCTCCAAGTTCTTATAATCACATCTAATCTTGTATCAGATGCATCAATTGCCATAATGAAAAGTTTTGAAAAGTCTAAAACTTCTAAAATGGATAAAGAAATCAAAACTCATTTAAACTTTTCAGAAATGTTTCAGCAATGTAGGATCCAAAAACTTTAATGAGTTTGCCTCCTTTTTATAAACCAGCACAATGGACTAGCTACAATTCCAAATAAGGAAAACTTCAGGGATCTCCCAAAGGACATGCTTTTAAAAATTTTAATTTAGGGAGTTTGCTGATTTCTAACAATCTACTTTATTTCAAAAAAGAATTGGATCTCAAATATCTGATCTTTGAAAGCCCATCAGACATTACTAAATTTCATATAGTTCATGGATGGCTGCAAGCCCTCAACTAAATACACCCTTACAATTAGAGATGAGGTTTTAAAAAGTTCCTCTCTGAAATTCAGGATAAAAAATAATATAAAATTGCTGGTGTAGTGGTCCATGTCTGTAATCCCAGGTACTTGGGAGGCTGAGGTAGGAGGATTGCAAATTCAAACACCACCTGGGTAACTTGATGAAACCCTGTCTCAAAATAATAAATAGGGCTGCAGATGTAGCTAAATGCAAAGACCCTGAGTTCAGTCCTCAGTACTGTAGTAATAATAATATTAATATAATAAATTAACCACAATGCTATTATTAACGTAAGACTAACATTTTAAGGACACAATAAGCCTTTAGACATGTCTTATGAACTTGTGGGTGTTATACCTTGAGGTGGCCTCAAATATTAGCAAAGACAATTAAATCTACACATGTAATATAAATTCTGGTGATAGGTGCCATTAGTTGAATAGCTACTGTGTATCAGACACAATGCTGCTAACTTTACATTCATTATTTCATTAATCCTCACAACAACCTGTTGAGGTTCTGATTATTCTCATTTTAACTATGAGGCCTTTGAGGTTCAAAGGCTAGTGAAAGTTGTTCATTATCATACAGCAAGTATCATTGCTGGGATTTTAGCCCAGGTCTTCTCAACTCCTAAAGATGCTATTAATGGGATGAATAGAAGAAAATGGCCCCATGAGGTTGAGCAAGAAGGCACCTAACTGAGACACAGACATGGTAAACTCTCTGAAAGCATTGAGGTGAACAATCCATATCAGTTATCCAGACTGCAATGTACCTGGATGGCAGGAAGGCATTCCTTAACATCTCTTTAATCTGCTAGGTAAATCCCTTAAGAATACTCAATTCTCTTTGATCTAATTCAATATTCACCGAACTTTCTGATCTGATATCAATCTCCTGGGAATGCTTTTCCACTGGAAGGAAGTATCTTGTGTAATGATCAGGACCTGCCTACTGGTTTTATTCTCTTGGATAAAATAATATGTTGGCCAGGTAGAGGACTAATTAAAGTCCTCAATGAGTGGGATTATTGGGAATCGATTCCTAAAATGATCAGTTCTGAATTAACAAAAATGGATTCTCTGATTCTACAAAACCAAGAACCAGTTCCTGGGTCTGCAGTGATTTCCACTAAAATCCATATAGTCCAAAGCACTCACCTTGAAACAGCCTACCAAGGTCTCTATCCATCATAGTGACATCCATATAGTACCACTTTTAATAGGTGACATTAAAATATTGTCACATTTCATATCCCTTGTCTGTCCAAATATAGCTATGGGATGTATGCAGAATGTCACAACAGCCCACAGGGTACTCAATGCATCATTAGCCAGTTTTTAAAAAGAACCAGGCAAGTCTCTGCACAAAATTGTGCTGGAGGAGAACCCAGGAAATTCTAAAGGACTAACAAGCCCACAGTCCCTTTCTCAGGAAAGCTACTCTTAGAAATTCTTTTTGCAAACAAAATGCCATGGCTTATATTCTGAGAGTATTGAGTGAAGGCAACACTAGCCATTGACTTCAACTACTGAGAATTCATTAGTCATGTGAAGCTCAAGACAAAAATGACTATGTTTAAGTTACATGTGAGTGAGGCCATCTGCTTCTGATGCCACTTGGCATGAAGTTCTGTATCTTGTAGGAAAACTGATTAGATAGTAAAAGAAGTACACAGTGATAAAGAGACCTACCTAGTGCCTCCCTCTCATTTCTCTCTCTCCCTCCCTCTCTCTCTCTCTCTCTGTCATCTGTATTAGGTGGACAAAAGACAGTAGGTTGTTCCAGTGGAACTGAGTAGCTGAACCAAGTCTACATGAGGCTACTGTACAGCCTGGTATTAGAAGCCTTGGGAATCTTAGAATGTATTACTACTCCTCCAGAAAGCATTTCAGTTTGCACTGAATTAAATATTTTCCTCAAAAATTTTATTTCTGAAACTTAAAACACAGTCTACTTCTGAAATTTTATATTTGAATTTGTCCTTTGTCCAACTCAGATTCAACTAAAGAACTTCTTAGTGTTTATTTGCAAACACAAAATATCTCAATTGTTAGAACCCACTTTCTGCTTGTGTTTTTTCTTCACATATTTTATTATCTACCAGATACATTGTATAAAAAGTACTGAAGAGTAAGGCCCTTTCTTCAACCTGGAATTGTATTTCTTCCTCAATTTGATGTCTCTCTTCCTTAGTAATTTTCTTTTTATTGCTGGAACTAATCATATTTGTAATTTACATGCCAAAGTTAAGCTTACTTATGAACCCATGAAACACTAAAGTTGGAATTGCTCTATAGCTTTTTACAGGCTGACCTTTAGTACTATCACTGTCTTTCAAAGGCACTATGAGTCTTTTCACAGAACTTAATTTTCTAAAACACTTGAAATGTAGAAGAGTTTAAAACTGAGATATGAAGTGACTTTTCCAAACTTTGTTATTTAAAAATCCTAGCGTATTTGTGGTTTACACTCAAGTGCATTAAATGAAATCTTTAAAAAATGCCTTAGAGACCAAAATTACCAATTATTGAGTGCTTACTTTGTGCAAAGTTTAATGTTAAGTATTTTGTTTGGCCTCTCTTGTTTGATCCTTGCAGCAATTTTTTGAGGTAGATAGTATTGTTGTATATTGATCTTAAAATAGAAGAAGAAGAAGGGCTGGGGATTTAGCTCAGTGGTTTTGCCACCTGCTGCGCGAGCACAAGGACCCGAGTTCGATCCCCAGTACCAAAAAAAAAAAAAAGAGAGAAGAAAAAAAATCTGAGTCCAATGTGCTTTATTTTACTAGTGGGCAACATCTAGGTATTGGATATGGGGAGTCTTGCTTTTGAGCATTGATTCTAGTTTTTCTTGTGTATTCTTGGTCATGCCATTTCTCTTCAACTATATCCCCAATGTTTCAACTTCCTCCACTGCTAAATCTCTAATAATTTTAATGATTATCATTAATCATTATAATTATTTTTATTCAAGGTGGATCTCAGCTCCAACAGAACATGTTCCCTACTTACCATTTTGCTGTTATGGTTTCAATCCAGTGTTCCTCAAACTTGGAATCTTTAGTGTTTCCTTTTGAAAGGCAAAGATCCTGGGGAGAGATCTTAGGTTAAGTCCTTATCAGTTAATTACTTTAATAAGTACAGTTGATAGTCAACTGAGAGTAAGAACAGAACATGGGTTGGAAACATCCTAGGTATTTCTGGGAGACTAGTGAAGGTTAGATGTCAAAGTGCTCAAACCCAACTTCACTTAAGTATATTTTGTCTAAATTCTGTCTTAAAAGGCAAAGAATAAGATTTAGCATGTGTAATACAAAGTCCCATCTGGTTGAAGTATGTGTGAAGAAGTCCTAAAGGACAAAAACCAGGAATGCAAGCCTGGGTAAAGAACAGTGAAAAGTCATAGTCAGGAGTTTGGAATTCATTTCACAGACAGTGAGGGGTTGTTAGCAGGGACTGAAAACAATAGACTTGTGCTGTTTATGGGACAGGAGAATTGGCGGGGGCCAGAGTGTGGTTAGGAGGCCCTTACCATAATCCAATGAAAGAGGTCATGGAACTCAAAATGGAGCCAGGGTTAGTAACAAGAATAGACAGAAGCGTGCCCTACTTCACAGGACATGACCACCACCAAGAAGTGGGCCCTCCTTCCACACCACAAATACATGGAGATTCTGATCGCTGCTGAAAGGTCCAAGAATTTCTATTCTTTTTCCCTACTCTCGTCTTAATCTAAAATGCCCTAAATTGACATCGGAAGGGAAATTACTGAGTGACTAAAAATACAAAATAAATGGAAGAGTCATCTCTGCCTATGAGAACCACGGGCAAATAAAAGCCTGGCAGAGAGGCAGGCTAGCAGAACTTCTGCTGGGCACTGGTCTAATCCTCCAAGCACCTCCTTCCTTGGGAAGGCAGCAAAGAGCCCTGTGTTCTGTTCTCCAGTCTGCTGCTGATTGAGGACCTCCCTTAATCATTTATTTCTCTTTTTTTATGTTGGACTAGAGCATTTCAGTTGGCGCTACCCTGCAGAGCTCAATCTCCCGGACTACAGAATCTTTCCACATATTACATTTAATATTATTTTATTCGATTAAATATTTTCCTCTCTTATTCTCTAATCCCATTCTTTATCATGCACAACACCAATGAAGGAAGAAGCGAAGGCCTCCGTATCTGGGTCTGGGCTTGGACAAGACAAAGCCAATGAGCCTCCTCCTCGAGCATCTCTCTGTTGCCTGCCGCCATCAACGCTTTGCCTTCGCTACAGCATCCCGCCCCGTTCCCACGGCAACCGGCGCTGCGCCCACGTGGAAACTCAGGACGCAGGGGCTGCAGCCCCGCCCCGCCCCCTCCCTCCGCACGAGGAGGGAGGAGGCCCGGTTGCCAAGGAAACGAGAGGACGCCAGGCTGCCGCCCCCACCGCCTCTTCCTCTAGAAAGGCCAGCACCCGCCGAGGAAAGCTGCCTAGGCGGCGGAGGAGGAAAAGGGGCCGCTAGAAGGAGGAACGACTTGAAGGGAGGAGGAAGACAGCTCAGGGACGGCCCCC